TACTATACACACTTTCTTTTCATTCCAAAATATAATTGGTCTTTAAAAATTGAATCCATTGCAATTAATTCCATCAGCAGGATTTTCTAAATTATTGAAAGAAGTGTGGGTTGAACTTGTAAAGTCGGAAAATATTAAGGTCTATTAAGGTCTACGCCCATATAATCCATTCAAAGTCCAACTTGTGAATTTGACCTTAGAGAGCTAGAACTTTATACAAAAGATATCGAAAGGATTGGGCAGGCAAATGGAGAAACACTCTCAGAAATAATTGTCAAGTCTGCTCATGATTATGAAGCAATCCTGTCTTCAACCTCAAACGATGGTACATGATTTATCAATTAACTCCCTGGATCAAATATAAACTCAAGTGTGAATCCGCAACCGAGTGATATCAAACATGGCTTTATCAGTGCAATTTCCGGGGTTTATAATATATTTAAAAATACAAAGTTTGAGAATACTTACTTAACTAAATTACATTCTAATTACCTAATTTGATACCAATCTGTAACATTGCTCTATAAATTGGTAAACTTTAAAAAAAATATATATCAACAGAATACTGATTGACACTTCTACACATTATAGTAAAAGGACTGTGAAAGTGATGTTGTGAATTTGGCACTTGAATATGAAATGTTATATTTGACCTTCACGTAATACGTGTGATATGCAAATTAAATTGAGACAGCAGAGAAGATGAATATATAGAATTATTAATTAATTTATAGATGAATATCAAATCTGCTATTTCTCTTCTTTTTCTTCGACTCACAAAACTGAATTCTTCTAACAATAAATTATAGTCATAGTGACGAATAGGATAACGGCCATGTTTTTTAAAGTAAATAAATTTTAAAAACTTTCTTTGGACAGATTCTAATGCACTTATGTACTTTAAATGATTAGTATTCCAAACACAACTGCAATACTCCAGTTTGCTAAGAAACTAGTGAAAAATAAAAAGAGAAAATGGCTTCTAAAGATTTAAACTTTTTACAGTTTCTAATAACAAACCCCAAGATTTTTGTGGCACTTTGTACAGTGTTTTTAATGTGTTCCGAAAAAGTCAGTTTGCTGTCAAATAAGATACCTAAATCTCTGTAATTATATATCCGGGGAATAACAAGATTATCTAACTGATAATCATAATATAAGACAGTGTAGACTTTCCTGGAAAAGGACAGGACTTTGCATTTGTTAGTATTCAAAGATAGTTTATTTACGATACACCAGTTATGTAAGTTGACAAGGTCGTTTTGAAGAGCAATGCAATCTGAGGTATCCTTTATTTCCCTATAAATTTATCGTCTGCAAACAAAAGTTTCTTAGAGTTGATACAATGACAGATGTCATTAATAAAAATAACAAATAATAATGGGCCCAAATTCGAGCCCTGAGAAACAAGAAAATAAAAGATTTGGCACTCTCGTATTCAACATAGAGTACGAAGGCGAAAAAAGGCCCTCTATTTCTCACAAAGTCGATTTATTGGTGGTTATTAAGCACAATGGAAAGTCATGGAGTCAATGTATTGAAAGTTTATTTTATACAAATGAACATACAAAACCAATATTTAGTTTAAATAAAACATTAACAAAACAAAGGACAAAACAAACGTTTAAAAAAATTTATAAAATCATGACTGAACAAAGTAAAAATTAAAAAATTGAGTTTTTTTAAAAGATTGCAAATAATAAAGATAGGTAAAAGGAGTTAAGGAAACTATTATTAAACGTTAATAAAATGAAATTATGAATAATAAAATATTTATCTAATAAAGAAAATATGATTAAATTGTATTGAAATTCAACCCAGCAAACAAAAGAAAAATATTTTGTTATAGTAAGCGGAAATGAAGTTAAAAGATGGTTGACATAATAGAGGAGTGAAGGGGTGGGGGAGAAAGTTTAAAATATATGTGCCAAGAAAAAATAAATTTATTTTTGAAGAAACGAAACACATGGACAGAAGTTTAGCGAAACGAAATTATGGGATATAACTATTGAAATATGGGGTTTAAGCAAAGAGTTAAATAATGGTAAGTAAAAGATTAATAATAAAAAGGTAATAAAAAATATTTAAATAAGAGCCCAAAAAGGTACTGCTAAATTGAATTTGATCATTTAGCGAGCATGCGGGACCAGATTAAATATTTTTTTCAATTTCTAGGTTCTCGAATTTATTTAATAGGAATATATTAGTCTTATGAAACCTGCATTGGAATCAAAGTCATGTTCAGTATCTAACAGATGTGGCCCAAATGGGAGAAGCCCGTGGCATTGGTATTAAGAAATCGTGTGAGCATGTTAATTTATATACACCAGATTGGTTCATATGATATCTATCTAATCTTTGTTTCTAACAAATAAGCTGCAGATGGAGTTAGAAGTTTTGCCTATGCAGAAGTGAAAGAAAATTACGATTGTCTGGTTCAATGTGGTGTAGAGGGGTACCTAATTAGGTAGCTACTGTGATCTGTGAAGCATACTATCGATTAGTTTCTGATCATAGTTGTGGCTGTTAGCAATTTTTTTAATTACATTGAGTTCTTTTGTAAAATTATCTGAAGACATTGGGAAATGGTTCGGGTATAATTACCCGATGCAAAAATTAAAACCGAAAAACGAAAAACATTATATGTTTTTCCTGGCACACTAAACGTTTATGAAAAATAATAGGAAGTAAGACATTTTTATTTCGTTTGTGTTCTCGTACTTACCTATTTTTGCTACCTGAGAGAATTATTTTTTTTTTTACAAAAAGAGTGAATTTTTATGTTCCTAAAAGGGTAAATGTAAACATGAACCTATGTTGCAAATTTTTAAGTATTCTTCACTAACTTGTCCTTTGTTTACAGTTCTCAAACTAAAAAGTTTAGGTAATCTTTCGTATAAAAGATAATGATTTACATTTTTTACTCTCAAAATATAGCAAATTTATTTAAGAGTCAGGGTAAATGTAAACAATAAAAATTATTTAAGACATTTTTAAGTAGAATTTGAAATTTCCTCAAGGGAAACCGTGTTTATATACCTTTACATTCGTCTGAGTATTTTATTGCTAATTTTACATTTTAAACGTGCAAAATGTGTTTATACTTTTCCCACCTGACTCTGCTCCACTGGACTTCTAGAAAACTAATTTTTGGACGTTGTAACGTTGTATTCACGTTATTTTATTACTACACATTTAATTAATTTGAATATTTTCAATGTAACAGGCTCTTAACGTAAAGTGTAGTCAGTCCGTGAAATACCACCGTTCTTGTTCGACTCAGAAACATCCGCTGAGAGATGACGACAATCGGTAGTCTTTATTTTTGGCTAGCGTAGAAAGAGACAGTCGGCGATCTAGAGTATGATCGGAGTAGTGTTGAAACACGAATCGCAGCTTTCTTCGAGAACGCGACAGAAAATTCGAAGAGTCAGTGCGTGTCTCTGTTCCAAGTAAGTCGTAATTTTTTTTAAGTGAGATTTGATTTTTGCAATCCAGCTTCTTCGATGTCAGGAAACCCTAGTTAGTAACAGTCAGCTGGTTACTAATCCAGGATCTGCATCGACCGAACTAGTCACTGCACCGTTCTGATCTGACCAACTGCATGCTTAAACTACCTCGTGGGACCACTTCAGCCAGAATAATCACACAGGGAGGTCCTAGTTTTCAACACCTCGCAACAGGTTCAATTCGTATTTTAACGCTCTGTAAAGACACGCGGTCGAATCACTAATCACTAGTTTTTTTTTATATACTCAGGCCTGCAGCCATTTATAGTTTTTGCCCTCAGCAATAAAATCTATTAACATTGTTTAATTTTCAATTGGCTTTCAGCCCAATGTAATTTTTTTTTCTTTTTTAAATAAACGTCTGAATTGAATTCAAAACTTTTAGTAAGCCTTTTCACTATATAATTTTTAGGACTATATTTCTTTTCGTTTAATAAGTCATTATATTGTCCTTAGATATTTGTTCACTAGTAAATAAATGTTTTTATTATTATCTTGACGTCCTATTAACGGGAAAAGGTAAACATATTCAAGAACCCAAAGGCCGTACCACGACCTGAGATTATCTGGAGCATAAATTAAGGTAAATTCTTTAAAATATACGTCTTTTTAACAGTTTTAATAATACACTGTAGTCAATTGACGTTAAACACTACAAAACGACAAGGGAACACTGCAAATTTGCGCCCAACGTGGGGCGGAACAGACATCTAAAAATGGACATCAAATGGACATATTTGTGCTGTCTGGGGGATTAGTATATAGAAAGGCATACCAAACTTGTTACGTTAAAACTAATTGAAGTTTTATAATTTATTTCTTCATGTTTTGTAGATCAGTTTGGTAGAAACGAAGTATGAAGCAGGGGAAGCGTAACAGTTTATCTAGAAATTCTTAAAAGTAAACTAAATTAAACATTAAAATTATTCAATATAATACAATTATTGAATATAACATCAAACAATTACTAGATACATACTTGTATTTATTACATGCACTAACTATAACGTAATATACGCCTAGCGAGTTCAAACTAATGTGTTAGCAAATGAATGATATTTAAGTTATTTAGTATGCAAATGTATAATGTTGCACAGTAAACTAATAATTGATAATTGATTAAATTAAACTTCAATACAAACTTATGTAGGTTAGTGCATTTTTAGAATGTAACTATATTATTACTTTGTTTTATTTGACGTGTTATTATCTCTATATAAAGCAAAACACATTAAAACATATGAGATGATTTGGTTTTAAAAAATTGTTGCTTTCAATATTGCTTTAATATTCAATAAAATCACTCAAACATTAATTAATGAATTTAGTTGTAATATAACGAAAACAATCCTAAGTAAATAGCACATGAAGTACCTTTTAAAAAATATTTAAAATAAAAAGCTTACATATTAGTTTAATAGCTGCAAAACTTAAATATCAATCATTTTTACGCTGTGTTCTACTAAGTGTAGAGACGGAGGAGACCCTCACTTAATATGATGAGCAAGCAGACCAATATCGCCGCCAGCGCCCCCATGCTGAGTTTAAGTGTTTGACCCTCTTGGATCAATTCACAATTCTCTCCCCAGAATCCGTCGGGACAATTGCATCTATACCGGAATCTTGGTTCTAGATTGATGCAAGTACCGCCGTTCAGACAGGGTAAGTCGATGCATTCGTCCTTATCCGTGCAGTCTTTGCCATCTGCCGACATTACCCGTCCCTCTCCACAACTACATGGTGTTAATCAAACAAATTATTTAGTCACAATATTAGCAACTTTCCTTTTTCAAATTTATTGTCAAGAGTAGATACGATTATTATCGACAAAATTTGGAAATGACAAATATTGTAATTCCAAAAATTAACCTAACCATAACCTGACAGATAATAGTTTGTTTGACAGTCATAGTAATAAAATTTAACGCTGTGGTATTGTTACTCAGTAATAACAAAATTTAGACAATTCGATTATAATCGAGTTTATAATGAAAATCTATGAAGTATATCCTATTAGAAATTTTAGATTATTTATTTTAAAATTAATTTCAAAACATGAAACAACTCGTGCAAAAGAACTTTGCGTTCTGTCAAATTTACTTAAACTTATTTAAATTTACTCAAACTTACTAAAATTTATTAAAATTGACTCAAATTCACTTAAATTTACTCAAATTTACGCAAATTTACATAAATTTACATACATTTACTTAAATTTACTCAAATTCATTCAAATTTACTCAAATTTACTTAAATTTACTCAAATTTACTCAAATTTACCCAAATTTACTCAAATTTACTTAAATTTACTCAAATTTACTCAAATTTACTCAAATTTACTCAAATTTACTCAAATTTACTCAAATTTACTCAAATCTACTCAAATTTACTCAAATTTACTCAAATTTACTCAAATTTACTCAAATTTACTCAAATTTACTCAAATTTACTCAAATTTACATAAATTTACTTAAATTTATTAATATTTACAAAAATTTACTCAAATTACTCAAATATACTCAAATTTACCCAATTTTATATGAGCGAACTCTAAATTAATTTGTCACGACTTTTTGAATGAGAGAGGCTAAATGTTAAAATTGAAGGTTTTGCTGTTCCTAAACGATCCAAGAGGAAATTTATAACACTCTTTTTGGTCGGAGCGTGATTTCTGAACGCGTTCCAAAACTGTATGTTATGTAAGTCAAATACTTAAGAGTAACACTGGAAATACTTTAATAAACTTCATTTTTTGGCTACAGTACTTGTTTGACTGTTTAAATAAAAATAATATCAAAGAGTTTAAATTTTTACTAATGTAACTAGGTAGAAATGTAGTTATGGGCTAGAAATAATTGATTTAAAAAGTAATTTGGTACGCCCATGTATAGCGTTTCGCGTTTCAGTTCAGTTCACTGCAAAACTGTCTTATCCTGGCCATCAAGTAATGGAACTGTTATGATACCCTTCAAGTAACATGTCTACCCTAGCATTACATCCTAACATTTCCCGTTTTGATTGACACCAATTTTATATGTTGCCTGGATTTTACGGAAAGATAAATTTAAACTACTTTTTGCAGTAGGTATTCACAATGTCAAATGCAATTCACTCTACATTTCAAATATTGTCGTTAGTTTATCTTATTTTTAAAGAAAAGGAAAGTACCTACGTATTTTTTTATTTTTTTACAAACCAAAGATTCATGAGAGAAAACCCTTGAAATCAATAGCCTATTAGATATTAAATTTTTCATGAAAAAGGAAAGTTATTATTGTAAAGCATATCCAAAAAGGAAATTATAAAATTAATGCGAACATTTCATTCATTCGATACTATCCTGGTTAATTAATTAACACAATTTAATTTTGAATAGCTTTTTTATTATTTCAATTTGACCATAATATATACAACATATTATATACCAAACCTCCTGTGGAAGCATTCATTACTATTTTTTTATTATTTTCAATAAACTTAAAAACCAAAATCCCAAAACAATAAATCAAATTTCTACATAACAAAAATAAAAAAGAACTAAAAACTCAGTGCCGTCGCAAATTATAGTTTCATGGTACAAAACCACTTTTATTAAATTTGTTGTTTACACAAAACGAAATAAAATTATATTCTAACAAAATATAATGTAAAAACTAAAGTGTTGTGTACCAAGAATAGAACAAATAAGATATAAAAATCATTAAAAATGTTTTGAAAGAACCAAAGAAAATGTCGAATTAAAGTTTCAATAATTTTACTAAATGTGTAAACATATATTAACTAATACGAATAAATTAAAAAA